ATGGCGCAGAAGCGCACTGCCTCAACCGCTTTCCATACAAAACCAGTGGGCGGGCAGCAACAGGTAGATATCGTTTTTAAATTATTTTGTTAAGCTTTCCAAGTTCCATGTCTGGAATTGAGCCTTTTACGATTTAGTGAGTCGAAGAACTCAAACTTTATAATATTTAACTGGTTGAGAGTGCAAAAATTTTGACAAGAACACGTGTGGATCTGGTTTAGATCTTCTCATTATTGGTATTCTCGTCTTGACAATCGAAGGATGCATTTTAGTCTTTTCGCCGCTTATGTTGAGAGCATTCCTTTATCAAGTTTTTCAAAAATAGCATTTTTTATTCTTTAAGTTCAGGCTTTTGGGAACAAATTTCGCACTGCTTCATGCCTCCGTTAGTCCTAATTTTTACGAACTTCTTCAAAAAGGCGGTTTCTATATGCAACTCAGCGAAATAGTTTTTGATAATTCGGAAGTTTCTGGGACCGGTCTCGTGTTATGGGAGGGCTTGTTGGCATAGCACTGTAGTATACTGAGTTGGAGGCTTCCTTGCAGCTACCGTCCTTGGTGCCAAATAAATTTGGAAAAGTTTCTGTACATTTTTGGCCAGATAATTGGGCTGTTTTAAATAGTCAGGCAATTTCAAAATGTTGGATATAATTATTTGTTTTTTTTTTTTTACCTCCGGAAATGCGAAGCATCATTCCGTTCATGTTTCTGGCCTTGCAGGTCACAATGGTGATGCCGGCCCGTGCAAGCAGCGCACAGCAAATCAGAACATTTTCGTGAGTTTACTTGTTCCCGTACTGTTTCTTTAAACGTCTGACTATAATTACAGACAATCATTTAAAAGAAGCAGAGTGTGCGTTATAATTTTAAGATGACCAATTTTAGGCGTAACATCACTTATCAGGGTTCTCGAATGTCACCAGCTGGTTTGGTAATGAGCGGCAGTTCGAGGATCGGTGAAGCGCTACCTGGTTCCAGTACTACGAGGCAGTTATCGACAGCAGGTGGACGCGATGCTCAAATTTGTGTTAAGTAGTTTCAAAGGGTGGAAATCAAGCCCAGCTAAAGGAAAAAACTGTTTTTTGATTGGGAGGGAAAATGGCTTTTGGTAAAGTTATTGGGAGGAGGGATAGCAAAACTGTTAAGCTCGGTGCAGCTTCTACTGATAATTGTCTAAAAATTCATAGCCTGTTTCTCGCCTGGTGCATTTGGCAATTTTTCCGGTTTCATTGTTCACTGCTACATTGCCTGATAGTCACCCTGCCGGCATCTTGGCAATCGTTTGGGTAGTTTAATCACTGTTGGCGTAGGTTTTTTCCGAGCACA